TAAGCTATACATATTACAGTCAATAGCACTTAATTCATAGAGTTGTTGAATCGTGATCAATATTACACGATTATTATGAGAATGATAAGAAGTGTTTAATATTATGACAAATCCTAGATATTTAAGTGCTATTATGAAATGAGCAATGAGACTACCAACTATTGTTCGCCAGCTGAAGTAGTCAAGAGTCTCGATAGAAGGCAGTAGATGCGGCGATGGAAAGCTTTCTAAGTAAACCAACGTTATTTTAAGCACCATATACGTACAACCGTTGGAGAAGTTAAGTCAGTTTTCTTGGGATTGAGTACTGAGCAGTTTAGAATCCGGGAGGGTCAAGCGTTATTAGTGATTAACTTCATTTTTTTTAAGTGAGATTAAACGTTCATAGCCCTAGCCAGCTGTCATTTTGTTACTGTATTATACCACGATACTCGCGGCGTTTAATTTTCACACAAATATGACAGGCCTACAGAGTCTTTTTGTAGACAATTTCAAGCACATTCTATTAGTTTATTAAACGCCATCTTCATTTCTTCGGCCATATGCATCCACAAACAAGATATTGTCTTTTATGTGAGTGTAACACAATAATATGCATACCCATGCCTAAATTGATACCCGGTTTTGTGCTGTTTATGTCATATTTAGTTTTCGATGTTCGTTTGCAACCTGCCCTTATAATACTCAATGGTGTTCAGTAAAACGGTCAACTCCACACTAGGCCTCTTATAAAGAAGTCTGAAATAATCTCTCAATAAAAACAAAAATAAATTGGAAGAAAACATTAAAACGGAAACTTTAAAACGATTAAGCAATCCACTCCAAAAGGAAATAACTTACACTTTAACTATTTACTAATTTTTTTTTTTTGCGATGAATTATCAGAAACGTAGAATATGTTTGTGATTCCAAAACATGGAACTAACTAGGAAATATATAAATAACAATTTACCGGTATATACCGGTACATTCATTTGTACCAAACAATAAAACTGTAAATCATGCTCACTAAACCATTTTAATTTAGGTTGTCTATTTCTGTATGATATGTATGTATATGTATATGTGCATATGTACGCGGGCATGTATATGTATGTATGTGTATGTATGTGCATAATGTATAAATGTATGTATATATATATATATATATATATATATATATACAGTATATATATATATATGTGTGTATGTGCGTGTATATATGTATATGTATGTATGTATATATGTACGATGTGTGTATGTGCGTGTATATATGTATATGTATGTATGTATATATGTACGTATATATATATATATATATGTATATATATATATATTGTATATGGGTGTACATGTTTGTACATCGTTTGTAATACTCATGCTTATTATACAATTCAAGTAAAGAAACGCTTTGGTCTTGTTGACAAACGCCTTAGTGAGTGTAATGTCAGTTTGTTATACAGTATGTAAATTGTTTTTAATGTAATTTTATTGTTTCGATTGTCTATGTAATATGTCTCTCCTTACTGGAGATTATCTGAATAAATTCTAAATCTATTAAAATCAACCAGGAGATATTTAAATACTTTTTAATGAATTTGTCATGTAAATAAACTACGACTGCGTATTTTCAAGTTAAAAGAGAGTCTTATGGGGTATTCCCATGGTAAAATCTAAGGGTGTACACCACCTCTGTCCTATAGCTTGTAGAACAACCAAACGGAATAGTATGGTTTTGGGTTCAAAATCCAAGCATTTCGTTTTTGTTTTTTTTAATCATAATGAAATTATATAGGCCCTAGTTATAAAAGTCTTTAATCTAACGCTAATATGTGAAAATGAATTTCTATTTGGCGATTTTTATTCATAAGTGGTAGTGCTTTTATTTCTGATATAGTACTAGCTTAGAGGTGGTGGGCATAAAAGTCGGACCGCCAAAGTGAATTATGATTACAATGAGGGACACACTGGGGGATTTTAGGTGAAAACCCAGCGTTTCCAGTGTGCCATTAAAACAATCCGTTCACTGTGTATAACAATTTCTGCCCAGTTTTGATATTACTTGCTACAGATGATCGGCGTTGGGCCATCACAGCAAGCGTTTTCTAGCAGATTAACTATGTTTACATTTAATAAGTTTGATTAGGACTTACTCAAAACATAGCTTCCTCATCAAACGTCCCTCACATAACAAGCTGGAGAAGATTGAATTTGATAATTATATAAAAAAGTTGATTTAAACTTTTTCATGGTCACCGAACAACTTAACTAGGCGAGTAAACTCATTTTTATATAAACTTTCGTCTTTAGATAATTGACGTATTCGTTTTTTACACACACAAATAGGATACTATAGGCGAGGTCCGTTCACACCATGGTTCTCACGCAGTACGTGGATGATGCACAGCGGTGGTTTCGTTTTTGGACAGTTTTACTTTGATGCTGTTTCATAAGTGAATGCCATTTAAATATTTTATACAGGCCTAGGTGTTATCAAACCAATAGTATGCTTTGCTAGCTATGATATTCTTTTCCCACACCTAGAAGTAGACTTAGACTTACGGGTTTCTGGATGAGAGGGAGTTGTGATTTAGAATTGTTATCTGCGCCACTATACACTCGCTGGGAGCGGTGGGTGTTTCTGCACTGAACTGATCAATGGAAAAGATCATCATACGTAGGCCTATATACCCCTTTCCCCAAATAGAGGCCCTCAGTAAATAAAAATGTCTACGTTCCCATAGCACCAACTGAGACTGCGATTCCGCTGTCATAAGTTTAGGCTTATATTTATTAACTCTCAAAACATAATGTCGGTCTATATTGCGATTTGCGACATTTTGTACTATTTTAGTTTCGAACTCAGTAGAGTAGAGGCGACCAAGTGGGTCAGGAAATCGCTATGTTGTTTCATAAGTTGATAGTTGGACCATGGACCCACTTTTAATATCAGTATATCCACAGTGTCTATGTAGAGTGGTAAATCCACTATTCATTCTGTTATGTGTGATATCACTGTAGCCTAGTTAATTTGTTTTGCTTTCTTTGTAAACGCGACGAAAATATTGAAATGAAGATTACTGTGTTCTTATAGAAACAAATTTTACCTGATCTGAATTTCATCAACTATACTATTCTGGTTTTGCAACTTTTTCGTCGAATTATTTTAATAATTACTTAAAAAATATAAGGACGTTGCGTCACAAAGTTTAAGAGATGTCATAACAATTTTGTAATCTACATTTAGCTATTATCTTTCTATTTTAGAGACTTTAATTTAATAATTTACATTTCTATTAAATTTTATTACTATATATTGGCTTGAGGGTCCATAATACTGACCGCCACCGACGAGTTAATATTGTAAAGCATGTTTATAGATAAATTCTCTATGTGTACCTGCTGCATGAGAATATCGAGTTCGGTAGGAGGCACTGTACAAATGTTTAAATGCGCGCTGTTCTGACAATTGTGTAAAGAAATGAATGAACACTTTGCTCAGTGTTTGTGTATTGCAATAACTTACAGATCCATAACTGGATACTCTACAGTGTTCTCTAAATGTATATTATTCATAAATCATCATTTACTATTATAATCATCTTTATTATTAGTAATTTCGTACCGTACTTTTTCTTTTCTACTCCTCTTCGTGCACATAATGCGTGGACATACTTTCTCCATTGGATGCGATCTTGTGCAAGCCAGGATATTTCATACCATGTTTTTTTTTCTTCTTTCAATTATTTTTCTACCAATCTCTTCAAAGTTTGCTTGGGTCTTCCCCCATCCCTTTGGCCTTCTGTCTTCAAATTTAGGATCCTTTTTTTCTTTTTCTGTCTAGACGTCGCACATAATCAATCTAGTTCCAATGCCTTTTTAAAATTTCTTTGATGATATCATTTATTTGGGTCTTCTCACACAGTTTCTTGTTGGAGATAACCTTTGCTTTTACAAGACAACAAACCTTATATGTGACAAGGCCAATAAAAGTTTTGTATCCCGAAATCGTTATTATTGTTGAGGTTGATGATATTATTATTGCTGCTGTTGTTATTCTTATTTTTATTTTTAAAATGTTCTAGAAAAAGTAAACATATTTGTGATGAAATTCTTTGCATTTCCAAAGATTGAATGCACTATATTAAATTTTAATGCGAGCAGGCGCAACCAACATCATATTCAAATCCTTCCCTATCACAGGATTCGATATAGATTTAAAAGAAATTATAGTGTTATGTGATATTTCATTGAAAACGGGGCTGTTAAACTCAAAGCAAAAGTATGGTACAAGAAATTACTAATAGTAAAGATGATTATAATGATAAATGATGATTTATGATTAATATACGTTTAGAGAACACTGTAGAGTATCCAGTTATGGATTTGTAAGTTATTGCAATCCACAAACACTCAGCAAAGTGTTCATTCATTTCTTTACACAATTGTCAGCACAGCGTGCATTTAAACATTTTTTTATAGCATTAAAACTACTAACCTGTGTTGAACAAATATATCTGTATAATTCCCACATGGACTGTCACCATCTTCACCAACATCATTGTCATTAGCATCGCCACCATCCCAATCACCTCGTCCTCTTCCACACTATCCCACTCTCTCTCCTCATCATTTTTACAATTAATATATACAGTTAAAATTAATATAAAAATGTACAGGAGGTCTCTAAATTTGTGTCAGAAGATATGGGCAATTACCTGTATCAGAGGCGACAGAGATAGAAGAAAACACAGGCCCAGAACGCGTCCAACAAGATCATTAGTAAGTTCACTGCGAGAGCAAAAGATGGTAGATACATGAGCGTTGAAGCTCATTGCAAAAAGATTGATTTTCATATGCCAGAGGGTAGTGAAAGTGTGTTGGGTCACAGTCGGATCCAGCCCCCAGTCTAAAAAGCTGGTGGTGGCGCTGACAACAGGAACGTTCATGCGGAGGGATATTTAATCAACAGGGGGAAGTGTACAGCTTTGAGATGATATAGATATCAACGACATCAAAGGTTTCAACACATATAAATTTATTTAAAATTCAATAAAATATGAATTGGCTCATTGAGGTACTGCACGTGCCAGATATCCTAATTTTATTAACATTAAAACTAACCTTCAATTAGTCAAATTTTAAAATAATTTTAATTAGCATCTAATTTTTCATTAACAAATAATCATATATCACTCATTAACCTCATATGACCCTTGCATATTCAGAAGGTAAGTGGCACATTAATAAAATAATTACACCAAACACTCTTCCAGTTCACATTCGTCATAAGTCTTCCCTACGAGATTTAGTTTCGCGGCTTAGCCAATAGGCTTCTGTCTGCATCTCCTTTAAGCGGGAATACGTCCGTTCCCAAGCAAACTTTTCCTCCTCTCCGGTAAAGATCGGAGCTTGGCTAAGTTCAGATTTCTAAAAAAACAAAACAACAGAATCTAAGCATTTTAGATTTTATATACATTTAATTACAGTACTAATATTTTTCTAAAGCATATACCAAACTATTGTTGAGTGGCTAAGCCGTGTTACATGAATGGTATACAGTCGCATTCCTGAATAAATTATGATAAAAAGTTCTGATGGGATTGGAAGGCAAGCATCTTAACCACTGAACTATTCGACTTGACTATTTTTAAACATAACAAATTTGAACCCCCCACCCGCCCACCCTAAAAACAATCTTTATTTATATAATTATATGTATATTTACTGTCTCTTATACACATCTAACTCATTGGGACAACATGCTTTTGTAGTCAGCGCTGGAGCAGGCAACCTCACCAGGTTTCATACTCCTGCGTGGTGAGATGCAATGCAGCTGCAGTGTTTGCTCAAGGACACAATCAAAATGCACACCCAGTAGAGGGATCGAAATCCCAATCTTGAGATCTCACCAATCTCATAAAATGAAAACATTTACTTGCTCAGCTAGGGAAAAATTACAAACTACCAACACACATAGATCGATAAAAATAATTTTTTGACAGGTTTGTAGACCTGAAAAAATGTTAATTGATCATTGGTCAATTTAAGGATGCAACGAAGAAAGGTATTCACGGGTTCCAAGTTGAAAGAAGTGAATTCAGGGAGATCTGGTTAACTTTCTTAACACATCTAATAAACCGAATTAGTCACCAAAGTGACGTCATCAAAATTTGGCCAAGTGGGTATTAAAGTTGTTTAGGTCGCCAAAGTACTATGCTAATGCATTGAGCAGAGTCAAAAGTGGTGTCTATTAAATTGTCTGAAATGTAACGAAGTTAGCGTAAAAAGATACTTTTTATAACAATGTATGCATTTTTAATGATTCATGAGATTAAGATTGATTTGATTAAATTTCCATTTAGAATAAAAATATGAAGAGTTTCGAGCTGTTTGTCTTGATGTAATACCCACTAGAGCACTTTGTCTTGGTGACTAATTTGGTATATTTTATTTTTTTGGGGATGGTGAAAAAAACACCCATCGACACTGATTTCCATGAGACAATTGATAAGAAAGGTAAACTGAATTTGCGGGAGATGTGTTTACTGTGAGATACTTTCTTGCTGGGGGTGTGCGGGAGGCCGTCCTGAGTTTCCAGGAGACTCCTGCGACTTGCTAATTTTTAATTGAAAAGCTAATAATTTTTAAATTATTAATTGTTTAAAAACATTCAAAGTAACTAAGAAAATATTGAATTTTATTGATTATGATTTCTTGAGCTTGACAATACACAATATATCTTGAAATTTGACCTTTAATCTACTAGCAATACACACCTGTTTTATGCCGAGATCGTCCATGAGGAGCATGTTACTGTCTACGTTGCTCTGAGTGATGTCACTTAGGACGAAGAGTTCATTCAACGGAGCATCGGCAGCACAAATTAAACGCACCTAATTAAAGTGGAAACGTAGAGGTTAAGATTTAAGACAACAACAACACCCATCTCATGGAATAGAACAGGTTTTCTACATTTAGTAGAAATATAGGCCTTCCTGAAATGGGAACTATGTTAGCAGAGCAGTGTCTATAAAAGGGGAATTTCATCAACCATGCAAAAATTTAAACTAATCTTATTTTTAAAATGATCTTAAAGCTACCCAATTGATATAAAATCACAGAATTGAAAACAAATGTACCTTGTTGTCATAGAAATTGTCAATCATCACAATGAATCGCTTGAGGGATGTTCTTGTACGCAGTGACATCTGCGGAATATCCTTGATGACAACCGTGTCAAAATTACTGGCAATTGCTAGGTAGTCTGCTGCCCCCACAGGCTACATAGAACAAAATGAGAGTTATCAAGTTGATTATAATGATCATAAAAAATATAACTATATCATTGTCTGTATAACAGATCATTGGGCTTTTCCTCCTATTAGTTGGTTTAATTAATGGTATACTGGTGACATTATTATGATGCCTAATAAATTTGAGCCAAAATGTATACATATTCAGTTTAACAACAAGCATTGAATTGAATCTAAATTGAAAATTATTTCATTCATCTAAATATGATAGCATAATTCCAATTCGAAGAGAAGGAAAGATGGTTGAAAATTTTTATACGACAGGCTTCACAATCAAATATAATAACAGTATGGTGTTAATATGTATAAGTCACTGTTTTTTAAAGTACGTACCATTTCGCAGAGATCTTTGAATGTAAACATTGCACTACGTCCACAGGCTGTTTTGATATCAAGATGACGGCCCTTCAGTATTATACGTCGCGGTTGAACAACTACAAGAAAACAAAATTAAATGGAAATATAAGCCGAATAGACATCCACCTGGATCTCAATAAATAAGTATAATAAATGTTATTATTAATACATTATAAATATTGTTACTAATATCATAAATTGTCATTATCATCTTTCCATTATTCCTAATTACTTTATAATTATTATTTCATATTTTCAATATTATTTTGTTATGCTCATTATTACATTATTATCATCATTATTAATATTACTATTGTAGGGTCCAATTGTGAATGAATATAGAGAGCGTTGTAATGCTAATGGTCGACAACAAGGCCAAGAGAATAGCATGATCTTAATGAAACATCTTTTACCTGACAAACAATGAATTTGATAGGTGAAATAAATATAGTTTGAGTAAGTACAACAGCCGATTAATTTATTGATGTCTATTCTCACGAAAATTTTAATAATGTATAACTATTATTACTAGTATCATATCAAGATCAAATTCATTGAGGAAAAAGTCCATACATCTTACTTTCATTTTCTTTCATTGCCAACTTCTTAAACAATAGTTCCACAGCGGCATTCGCATTACATGTGGTATTTGAGAAGTAGGTTTCCTGATCACCATGGAGATCAAATGATTGACGGTAATCAACCCCGGTATCCAACTGAAGGACTTCACAGTGATTCTATTCAAAAGGATAATGCAAAAATCAAAAGAATGCATAATTAAGTAGAAATAAATTGTTCTTCGATATATTCTGTAAATATTATTACTGTTTATGGAAATATATACAGCAATTTTAAACATTAATTTTTACACATGTATAAATGAGAAAAGGTATAACATAGTTAAGAAAAGATGTTTTTACAGAATTCACCCCTGAAAAGCCATAATTAGGAAGTAAGGCTTATTATTTTCTGTAAATCAACTGATTTTTGTGTGACTTAATTTGACCTATATTTAAATATTTTAAAGATTTTTTTTATTCATTCTTTAGGTTTGTTTATCTCAATACACTATGTAATGTGAGTGGTTATTTAGATTATTATTAAAGACAGGCATATTGGGTAAATATTTTTGTCGTTTATGGTTATATGACTAATCAGTTCCATTGATTTTAGTTACATGCTTTGGAAAATTTTCTCTTGATTCTTACATTCAACCGCCATATAATGAGGGATTAAACAACATATTTTGTCGAAAGGTTGTCATATTTTTGGGTTTGTTTTATATATATCATCATATTGCAGGTGTGGTAAAGATAAAACAATACCTTAAGAATTTGTATAAAGGGTAAAAAATTACTACGTTGAATTCCATTCTTATAAAGATCATCTGGTCTTCTGTTAGATGTTGCCACCACTACCACGCCATTAGCGAACAGCTCAGTGAATAAATACTTAAGAATCATGGCATCTGCTACATCCACCACCTAAATGAAACCAATAAAATATGTATCAATTTCTCTTAAATTATTTATCTATTTGGTAAGAATGTGGTACAAAATATGGTAATAAAGTCCTATGGACCTGTAGTGTGATGAGAGAATGGTAGGATGGATGTTTTCTTCTAGGTAGATTATATATTGTAGTAATCTTAAATGGCAATTCTTCAGAGCTCTTAAAAATTAAACTATGCAGTTGCTGGATCACTTGTGCTTAGCGACAGTTCTAGTAATTACTGAGGGGTGTTTCTTTTTGGAGAGAACGGGCAATTAGTCGGATTATCAAGGTAAGTATTCACAAAGTAGACTAAACTATAAAGTTATAGAATCTGGAAACTCAAAACTTAGATCAAGATATTGATTAGCTTATATAAAGATGTACTGTCCTCTGAAAACGACAAAAAATCATTTAAAAAATACTTTCGCACAGTTGCAGTAAAATACAAATATTTAACTTGGGCATAGAAATTACTAAATTAAAGAAATTTGTAACCTTGATTTTTGTATTGGATAATGATAAAAATGACTGGAAGTGATTCTATCAATTTCCGTTGTAAAATTTTGGGTAAACATTTTTTAAACACACTAATGTCTATGTTCATGTTGATAATTTTTCTATGTTACTTCAAAATGTGCAAGCTAATTTCAAAAACAATTTTTACATTTTTTTTGGTATTTTTTATGGGACCATATATCTTTATGGATAAAACAATTTATTAAATGCCACTGATCACAATCCTCTTTGGTACTGCTCCTTCAACTTACTTGAAATTCATCAAAGCAGAGCAGTGATGCATTTTCACTGATTTCCTTGGCAACAGGTGGTATTGGGTCAAAGGCTCTTGACTTGCGTGAATCCTTGAGTTTTGGTTGCTTTAACTTCATTTCATGGAGTCCTGAAATAAATTTGCATTGCCACATTTACTTTAATACATAAGAAGTGGTATGGATTTATATTTAATTGTAGAACAGCAAGCAATAACTAGACTTATTACGTCTGTTTTTAAAACTGAACATTAGGGCTTTTCCTCATTGCCAAAATGGAAACTAAGATGTGTATAAGAGACAGTTATTACATTATTATCATCATATAACTTAAAGTTACTGCAACTTGAAGCACTGCAGCGGTTAAGGTGATGTGTAGAGTACCAACCATATTGCTATAAAACTCGACCCTGCCGCGGTCTGTACATTTTTAACAAGGCAATCCTGTCACACAGACTTAATATGTTTCATTCTGTTTCATTAACGTAGATAAAACTACTGAGCTTCGAAATTTGTTATTTTATCCATAAAAACAATCTGATAGAAATTTTCAAACATTTTGTTTGGCATTAGGTACTGCTTTATATGGAAATATTCAAGAATCTTATATAATAAAAACTTACTTGCATGCACTTCTAACATAAATGAATCAAAATGTGTTCTTCGTTTGTTGCTGACTTCTACATTTCGAAAGAACAAGTCCATGAGCATTGTCTTGCCCGTTCCAACACTTCCAAACAGGTACAGTCCATTTGGTCCTGGCCTTGGCTTTGGTTTGCCAAAAAGTTGAAACTGTATAACACAAAATTGTAATAGTTATGAAATAATGTGAAGTTTAAAATACTATTATTGTAGTTTTATTATACAGTAAGATGAAATCTTAGCAGAATTTGGAACTCACAATTACAGTATTTATTCAAATAAAATGCATGAGACATTTATTGTTGAAAAGGGGTTTTTTGAGGGAATATTTGTTTGAGGGAGGTGTTTATTTGAGGAATGTGTTCATTTTTTGGTGTAAAATGGATATGTATACTCAAATAAATGCCCCTTACTGTAAATTTGGAACTACAACAAATGATTACCATCAAAATGTGTTATTGCATGTTCATAAAGACAAATTGATCACAACCAGGAGTAAAACATTAAAACAATGTGTTGAGAATGATTTTGCTTCCATTAGATTTGTTTACAGTCATTTGAGGGGTTGGGGGTGTTTATTCAAGAAAAAAATAAAGGCCTTGGTGTTAGGGCTTTAGAGGGGGGTATTTATTTGAGGGGGTGTATACTCAATGAATCAAATAAACACTCAATGAGTGTTTATTGAAAAAGATACAGTATAAGTACGAATTCAAAAATATAATTTTTAAAATACAAAAAAATTGAGATATAAAGAACATCATATTATTTCCGGTCATAATCACAAATTTTCTCACCTCAGCCACAACCATGCTGGAACTGAGGTGGTGTAAATCCCCAATCTGTTAAAATCCCTCCCGGGGCCCCCCTCTATTTTGAATTCCTGAATCCGCCACTAAGTACCTACCACCCATCTTCTCAAACAATTGGAACAACGAAAATCACCACAATGATTCTACCTTTTCAAATAATCCTAATGTCTCCGGTTCATAACCCTGCAGGGTGTCATGTAACTTCTGCAGATTTTCTACAATCCATCGTTGGTGGAGATCTTCGTTGAGCTCTCCACTTTGCACTAAATCATCATAAGCTTGTAGAGGGCCTTTCACTGAGTTTCCCTTTTCTTGATAAGATTCATGCGTCTGTGAGGTATAGCAATACCTACCCTGTGCTACCTGTTGGTTCCTGATATCTTTTAATAGAAATGTATGAGCTGGAAAATTCAAAAATAAATTTAGTGAAAGATAAGCATTATTATGATTTTTTGACAAATGTGTTACTGTTTATTTTATTTATTAATATTATATTTCATATTGGACACGTTTTTTAGAGTATTGAAGTGTATGACTGAGCATGTGTAATGTATCTAACATAAATATATCGTTTAATAGGCAGTTTTTGCCGCACGATGTTAAACTAAATGTTAACGAACGACGTCATAATTTATTCATCCTGCGTTGCGGAGTATGTTAATTTCAGGATTTTACATGCTTGACGTATGTTAGTTACGGGTTTGCGCATGCGCTGCATGTTGGGTACTAACGTTAAAGTTAAGGTTAACGTCTTGCAGCGAAAACTACCTACTGATTTGTTTATACGGTGATGTAAATAGCTATGACATATCCACTTCCTAAATTGTATTACTGTTATGCAAAATTAAATATAAAGTATTTTGGAAACTGTTGGAATTTGTATCATCACTCACTGTCTATACAGGGGCCTAGACAGGAGGAGTTACTTCTGCGTCCAAGCACTCGGCCGCAGGCAGCTCTTCTACGCCTAGGACCTAGGGCCTACATACATTACATTTCAGTGCTGGATGGTAGCAGTGATCGCGGTGGTGGTAGGCTCCGTAAAGAAGTGGGCGTCAGTCCTCCTTGTTAGGCCTAGTAATAATATAGTTATGCCCTGAATTCTCCCGAAATAAGTTTCTAATGACTACGTTAACATACCTCGATGGGAAAAACATTTGGAATTAGTCAATTGCACAGAAAAATATGGCAAGATGCTGTTCCTATAACAGGAAATACATAACCTATTCCTAGCCCTCATAAGAATACTTAATCCGTGTGAGACCGGTGCCATTTCTCCTTTTGGCCAAATGATGAAAAGATTCATGGAGTAAACGCGTTGACAATACTTTGAAACGCGAGTATAAACGCATTAGGTGGCCATCGTAATGTAATGGTAGTGTAGACCATGTCAAAAGTGTTTGAAATAAGCACATTTTCTTCATTGTTGACGCCTTTTTATTTTAATACACACAACGTAATTGCAGTAGATGTGTGGCGGTCAATTCTAATTTGAGAAAAGCAAGTAAAGCGTGACCATGAAAACACACTTTATATTATTTAGATTTCAGAGTTTAATTTAGGTAGGCATATTCACCATGCAAAAATGGTAGTTAGGTAGACATATATATTTTAAAAATATATTAGTGCTGTTTGTTGTTGATTGCATTTTGGATCCATCATTAGCCTGGCCTACTAGTAGTACACTGTAGTAGTAGACTAGACTAGTAGACTAGACTAGGCCCAGGCCTAGCTAGACTAAGAAGGTAAGCCTAACTAGGCCTAGGCCTAGTAGGGTAGGCCCTCTGTGAGGGGGACCAAGCCATCCATCATAAATGACCTGGTATCCTCTAAAAATCCAAGGAATTCAGTAGGCCTAGCCTAGCACTATCAGCCTAGACTAACCTGAGTAGTCTAGGCCAAGCCTATCATAATCTATATTTTCGATACTTTTTTAATGAGCAAGGATATGATTTTTATGGCAGTGGCTATTGTTACACCAATCTTAAATCAATTCCTACTGTCACATGATCTACAAATTCATACAATATTTAACATTCTATCATCAGGAATTGCCATTGGTTTTAAGAAGACTGCTGACTCCCACTGCCATAAAAATTAACAAAAGTACTACAAATTGTTGTTGTTTTGTCAATAGCCTATACTGTGTATTGTCTTTTCTCTCAGATATTAATGTGAATTTTCAATAATTAATAAAATACAGGTCAGGTCAGGTCACTCCCATAGTCCAAAGACCGTCGGGGCACTTTCATGATAACACCCTTCTCCTCCTCCACTTCAGTCGATCCTCTGCTTCCCTCAAACAAAAATACCAGCTGCCATTAATACTGTAACCCAAAAACAAGCAATTTAAATGCTGACAGAAAACTGCTAATGTAAAATATAATTATTTATTATTACAGTATTTACTTTATTAAGAACATACCAAAAATTCTGTGGAAAATTGATTGAAGGTTCTCAGGAACAAAAAACACGAAGTACTGTGGATGATTTTGCCAGGTCATGGCAACAACAGAATCTAAATTTAAAACAATATTTTGCTAGTGTGATCATCAGTGGCCCTCGTACGATACATTCAAGCATGCAATACAAATAAAATAATTTTTAGGAGTTTTTTTTTTTAGAATGCAGTCAGGTGTACAAAACAAGAAATTTTTAAAAATGATGTAAAAAAAACATGATTGCACAAAGACTCATGCAGGGTAATAGATTTTACTTATATTCTAAGGTTCAAGGTTATGGATAATGTGCTAAGCTAACCAAAAAGCTAGGCCACCAAACGAATGCCAGCAGGTACCACAAGATGGAGGCTGTGAACTTTCACCTGCATTCAGAACCATGGATTTGGAAATTAACAAGCCCCCACTTTGATAGGGAAGAACATCTCATTGGAAAAGTTGTAACTACCCAGGTAGGTCTATTGTATCTATGAGCAGGCAGTAATGATAAGTTTTATAATAATTTATCACTTCTGGCTCCAAAAGTATACTAATATTGGAAGGTGGTCCAACAAGTTGACTAGGGGATCATATCAAGAGGCCATGGGGAGGGGGGCCCTTCTAGTTGGGGCCAGGGGAAAGTGGTTTTATGGTTTAGAATAATAAAGATTCTGCTTTTGAACTGTAATATTAGAAACTGTAATCACAATATAATAAATCATATTTTTAGTCCGACAACCTAAAGATCCCTTTTAGACTACAATATTAGGGACTGCAATCACAATAATAATAATAATTAGGCAATGGTTATTGTTACACCAGTCTGAAACCAATTCTTAATTGTGTTAGATTTTATTGTCCTAATCCAATGCATACGTGCAGTATCATCCAATCATAATTAGGAATTGGTTGATGACTGGCATAACTAGACCTTCATAGAGTGCATATCTCCATCCTGTACCTGAATTCCAAACAATATACATTCTGTGTATTTTCTTTATTTTCTTCTATGCTCAAGGCTTAAAGTTCGAGGGGGAAAATTAAAATTTCATGACCTTGACATTGTCCTTTGACCTTTTCTTCTTAAAACTTATCTCAAAAAAATCATCTCGGGAAAATTATGTACCTTTCCAAACAATTTTATGATGATCCATTTAATAGAGAGACAGACAGGGGTGAATTCATAACTTCCTTGCCAGAGGTAACAAACACTGCCTAAATAATTGATTTTTTAGTCAGATGACCTCAAGGGGAGTCATGACAGGGAGGACGTATGCTTGTCTAACGGCTGCTGTTATTGTTGGTATTGCTATTGCTGTTCGTCATTTGCAGTTTTTTTTTTTTCAGATTTTGGACATTGCATTTGAAAATATATTTACTGGGCGTGCCCTTGTTAGGGACGGAGAACAAAAAATCGAAGCATATTTTACTAAAGATGCGATAGACAGCTTTGAAGGGTAACTCTATTCTACCATCGTTGGTATTATTTATCTCTTTTTAAAAAAAATGTTTAATTCTTTTTATTGTTGGTTACGGTAGTTCATGGAGGTATAGTAATTTTTATACCGTCACTTCATGGTTAGTTCTAAAGCAAGGCTTGTATGGGCAAATCCAACTAGAAAAGAGGACACTCTTTATTGCAGCTGCCATTTTCTGGGGACCTTTGTGACCCTCCATGTACTTGACACCACCATTTACTGTGTAGTGGTGCTAAATAGTTATTAGTAGATTACGATGAAAACAAATTACAGTACTGTATGTTCTACTGTATCATTCCTATATTTACAGTTTGATGATGCATAAGAATCCCCTACCAAAAGCCCCAGCTATAGCATCTGCAGAGGAATAATAATGACTAATTGAAATTGGTCGATACAGTTATCAGAAAATTGCCAGTTAAGTCCTGTCCACACTATCAATTTTTATTTGACAAAAACATGTGACATGCCTAAATATGGTCATGATGACATCACATCATCACCATATATAGGCACATCATGACTATATATGGGCATATAACATTTTTTTTTAAGCAGTTTTCAGATGTTAAAATGTTACTAGATGATAGGTAGATAGTGTTGAATGAACATGCTTTATACTTGGAATAAATTTCATCTTTTTTCTGCAGATATTTGTTTGAAGAAATTTCTTTGTGTTTAATACCGTTTATATTCCCTTTCCTAGTGGCCCTGCCTACAAATTGATTTTCTTTTATTACTTTTTCAGTGAAGAAGACAGTGTAACTGGAGTCACTTTTATGGATCTTGCCTGTTCTGTTATTCGTTTTGCTGAATATCAAGTTTGCACTTATTCTGAAATGGTAGGTTCATATTTATATAACTGTATTCTCTTGAGCAACGTAAGCTCAGTCGACGAAACTTGTGGTAGCCACTGTGTGTGCGATGAACCATGGAGCATCATTGTTAACCTTTGATACCCTGCTCAATTATATCTGCTGCAGTGGATGAATTGAGTAAAAATATAAAATGACACAAAATTAACTTGTGGTTTCTTTCTATCTTAGAACAACTGTACGGTGTATCTGAAGGTGTTGGCATTTAACATGATCAGCATCCATGAATTCTCTCCACAACCTCTGGACCCCAGGATAACACCTCGGAATCAAGATCACTGCCAGCTACAACTACATAACCAAGTGCATCCCACTGCTGAGTAAGTTGTGTGTACTTGTCTTCTATTTTGTTTCCATCAGTGGTGGTTCCAGCATCAGTCTCATATCTAGGGGCCTTGAAATGGCTTGCAGATGGGGGGAGGGGGAGCGAAGGTGAACTGGGGGCTTGATGATTAAATGAGTGGCTGCTAGGTTGCAAAATAGGGTGATATGAGGCGATGTTTAACTACTTGAGCATGATTTTTTTTGCTTTTGAAATTTTCAATTGGGGGGATGGGGGAAACTGAGGGGGGATGTTTGCAAACCCTAAATATACCACTGGCCAGTGGGGGTCAGGGTGGACAATTCTATTTCGATAATCTTTAAAAAAATAAGTACGCGAAACAAGGAATAAAAGAAGTCTCGCCTAAAGGGAGCCGTTTCCTGAAACCTAACTTTATGCTTAAAGACTTTTTTTTTCTTTTTTTAATAACAAATTTCAGAGTACCAGTTGAAATCTGTTTTCAAGATGAAGGCCCTGGTACATCAGACTGTGTAGATGACAATGTTAATTCAGGATTGTCAGCCATTATCTCACACATAGAAAAAGATGAACATGATAGTGAACTGGATCTTTCAACAGATTACATAGAAAGTGAAGATAGTGAATTGGAAATGTTTGTTAGTAATTCCTCGCAGGTAATAGTCAGAGAAGATGATGACTGGACAATGACAAATTATTTCTTTGAGATTATTAGAAGCACAGATATTGAGGTAATTCATCTTATTTTCTTCTGTTTTTTTCATTTGATTTTTTTTTAACCAATCTTTTCAAATTTTTATGCTCACTTGGAATATTTGTAGATTTAAATTGAATATAATTTTAATTTCTAGTAATCATTATTATTTATAAAATGTATTGTAGTTATATTGTTAATATTATTGTTATTGTTCTTGTTTAGTTTGGTGGCGTTCATACTGCTGATATTTGCTAATTATTATCATTATTGTTATTACTATCAATGAAATATTTTGTGAGGAATATGTGGATGCATTTCATTTCATTTATTTATTACACCTCAAAAAAGGTTGTGGGATTTCTAAAGAAGCCAATGCTTCTAATACCTATGACTTGGCAGACCCAGAATTCCTGAACATTAAATAAAAAGACAAAGACAATGCAAGGAAGAAATTACAAAAAGATACAATGCAATAAGAACTAAAATATCAAGTGCTATATTTAGACCCTACAGATAGAATTTATATCTTGTAATTTAATGAAAAAATATTTGTTTTTTAATTTTAGTTATTCAAATAATACATTGTTCATTTAAAAATGTTTTACTTGTTAAACTGGGAAGCTGTTTCCTTTTTTTTTTCTCTTTTCTGGCAAAGGCCACATTTATTCAATAATAAAATACTTATAATTTTGAAACATAATACCATTGATTTTCAGAATAACAAATCAAATCTGCATATTCATATTCAAAATATAAAAAACAATGTATATTAGACCACTTTTAAATTTCTTTAACATTATCATTTCACAACAGAACAATTTTTACAATCAATTTTCGCTCCTTTCACTTTCTTACAAAAAATTTATTTTATAAACCTTTTATATTTGAAGGTGTTTTCTAGAGTGTCCTTGGCTGAACTTCTAAACTGTTCAGATCACAATGCAAGCTTCTGATTGGTTGAGAGCACTCAGTTTTAATGACAGTATAATTTCAAGTCCAGACTTGTCATGATTATGGCTATCACCACGAGGCTGTAATAAATATAGCTCCATATACTAGCATGCAGGATCAATGGTCAGTATGTCATGTTTAATTGGGACACATGACCTCAATGTATAATAATTTAATTTTAATTATTTTTAAGCTTAAAATTCTGTCATCTGAGGATGAAGAAGAAAAGGAAGAATTGGAAGGAGAATCATTATCGGAAGAAGAACCAGTATCAGAAGAAGAATCAGTATCGGAAGAAGAATCAGTATCGGAAGAAGAATCAGAAGAGTCAGAATTAGATGAAGAATCAGATTCGCGTGAAATTCAGATCCTCTACAACATAAATATAGGTACAGTTATCAGGGTTGTAGCTGATGAAAACTAAAGTGGGGGGGGGGGGTGATAGATATTTTGAGGGTGTGTGCATGATAACATTGGTAAACTCTAGATAATACGAATGAGTGGATTTTAAGAATGGAATTAATATTTGAATATATTCAATTAAAATTAGTGGTATTTAATATTAATTTTAATCAACTTTAACTGTTAATGTACTTAACTATAAGAACATTCATTTATTTCTTACCTTATTTCAACATGAATGGTCCAGATTCAGTCAAAGTTGTTTATTAAGTATTATATCAGTAATTGGACACTTGGTCATAAATATGTATTTTTTAACTTGACACTTCAACCGAAGAATAGTGTGTTTAAAAATGCATTGAACAACTTTTCCATTTGAACAAATTATTGCCACTAAAGCTGTATTCACACTATCAAATTTCATGTGACAAATTTGTGTTTATTGCCCATATATGGGCTTGATGATGTCATATAACATCCATATACGGGCATATCATAGGTATTTTTCACATAAAATTTGATAAGTGAATCGAGCTTTGAAATTTAATGGGTATAAAACAACAGTGTGTTATGCCAAGTAAATGTCACATGAGCAGTACTAGTTTCGTGTTGCCAATTGTAAAGGGTGCCAAACTGGAAGGGGCTACTGCTGGGAAATCAAGATCTCGTAACATATTCTATTTAACTGCCCAGATGATACCCATGTTAATCTAAGAAAATTAATACAGTAGTAAAAGCATGCAGGCATTCTGAAATATGCGGGAGGTGGGCTTGTTTGCAGGATATTTTTGCTTGCTTCAGGAGTGTGATAGAACATGCTTATTTCAGGTGGATCCCTATGATTGTATATATTAGACTTTCAAGGATAGTTTAACTTTTATTTTGATCATTTCAATGACTGTAATACATTTTTTATATCTGATTGTTTCCCATGTTTCTTTTATTTGAAACTAAACCATTTTTACTAGGTTTTTATTTAACCTCAAAAGTAGTTAGTGTACTTATAAAGGGAACGAGTCAATTTGAGCTAACGCTAATTCGAGCGGATGCTACTTTGAGCACATGCTATTTCGAGTGAAAAAGGATCCAGTTTTGTGAACATTAACTTGTGCGAATTTCTTTGTTTGACCGAACATTAGTTCTGATAGTTTTTTGCTCTCTTCAGATTCAAATTTGCAATAACTTACTGTTTCCTTCTGATAACCCTCATTTAATCATCAAGCTTCACCCCACCTCATTTTAAGACTCCTAATGTAGATACACCACTGATATTTGAACATAATACATGAAATGAAAATTTGACATAATATTTTGTATCTAATTACACTGGCAATTAAAGTCTCCACATGCTACCCATCTGCATTTACAATTGTGCAAAGTCATTACTTTTGACAGTCTAGCCATCTCCCTCACTATACCACTGATGTTAGGACCTTTACACCTACATAAATGTAAATATAAGTTACATTCATATAGTGAAAATTACCCATTTACGAATATACATTTTTATTTATATTTATTACAACTACAGTTACAATAAAATGCAGTTGAAATTCAATTACAGTTACAATTAAAATCATAATTATAATTTGCTTCTTTTACTATAATATCCTAGAACCTTGCGCAACTTAATAATTGATATAAGTGTTGTAGTTCACAATAATGCATCCACTCGAACTGGCATTCGTTCGAAGTGGCATCCACTCGAATTGACCAGCATTCCTTTTAAATATTATCATTATGTGGATGCAGGTTACTCTTAACATCCTTATAATTATTAATCTTTTTTTTTTGTCTGATGGCAGGTAAAAATTCTATAGTGGAAGAACCAGCTTGTGACAGAAATGAGGATAATTTGAATATGAATTCACAAAAAATTACAAGTAAAGTGTATTTTTCTTCACGGAATAGTCAACTTAGCAAGGCTAGACGTAGAAAGCCACGCTCTGGTACAACCCCTCAAGTGCGCAGTGGGTTGGCAGAAAGCAGTGTAAATGGCATTGTTTCGCAGCTGGTACGAGATAAACATGATTCAATTATAAATCAAGACAGAGATTTATGTTCAGTTGAATGGCGTATTTCTGATGAATCACCACAATGTAGCCGTGACAGAGATGGAGATTCCCACCAACTTCCAACTGAACACCAAATTCTGGACAAACCAATAATTCCTGATGAATGTCCAGTTGGCTACCAAATTCCAGGTGGAAGTAAAATTCCAGGCAGTCAACCAACTCCATATGAAAACCAAACTTTAGAATGTGAAGAAATTCCAGATGTAGACCAGGATGGACATAAAATTTCAAATGGCATCCAAGTTCCGGGTAAAAATCAGATTCCAGATGGATACAAAGATCAAGCCGAACATCAAATTCCAATTAGTGACTTCTCAGTTCCTGGTGAAAACCAGATTCTAGGTAATCAACAGGTTCAAGATGGACACCAAGTTCGGGATGAAAACCAAGTTTCAGATGACGAGAAAACTCTAGGTAGTCAACAGATTCCAGATGGACATCAATGTCATGACAAACATCAGATTCCAAATGACATCCCAGTTCCAGATAAAATCCAAGTTTCAGGTGAAGACCAATATCTAGATACTCTAAGTGACAGCGCAGTTTCAGATGAAAACCTATTTTCAGATGATGGCCAGACCCCAGGAGGTCATCAGATCCCAGATCGACACCAAAGTCACAGCGAACATCAAATTCCAAATGACATCCCAGTTCCAGGTGAAGATCAAGTTTCAGATGAAGACAGAACTCAAGGGAGTCCAGATGTACATCAAAGTCATGACGACCATCAAATTCCAAGTGACATTCCGGTTCCAGATGAAAATGAATTTTCAGGTGAACAACAGATTCCTGGTAAACTCCAAAATTCACAAGATCATCAGATTCAAGGTGGATGTGATTCTGTAGTCCCAGTATTTGAATGCAAGACTACCAGCACTTCTGCCACAGATAACGATGATCGAGTAAACAGTAAGTCTTTAAAGAAAAGTAATGAAGAAAATAGTCTTGAGACACCTACAGTTGAATTCAGTGCAGAGCGATATACTGCTAAACGTGTGTTAGCTGCTGAAAAAAGAAAACAAGAAATGAGGGATTTAAGAAGTAATCCAGATATCGAGATCATTTCCAGGTCGGATATAAAGGTATGAATTCATTTCATGTGTAAATGTATAATATTAGTGATTGATAGTCAATTATTTAGATTTGAATCTGCTGCATTGCTCAGTTGGTTAAGGCATCTGCATAATACAACAGGAGAACCGAAGATGCCTCACCATTTACAATTTACATGCTCAGTAATAAGCTTTACTCAGATTAAAAATGATGATAATGGCAATGAAGCAATGATGATGATGATTATAAAATTCTCCATAATGTTTCTGACTCAATTAATTTTGTACTCTTTTTTATTTTTGAGAATTTAAATAAATCAAATGAAATATAAAACCAGGTGATAATGAAAATGATGCTCTATGTTAATGACAATGATACTCACATTTATATAGCTTGTACTGATGGAGGATGAAGAAGAGGAAGTGGAAAACAACTGCAATGATGACAGGTTGATTACAGGTAAGCTGCAAGTAAAAATATAGGTTTATTACAGGCAGACAGGTAAATATACACCACAAACTGTACCCAATACACTGTATATGTTTATTATTGGTAAATTACAATTTAGCCCTCTGAAGAACTACAGTACACTACATATTTCCATATGTTGGTATTGGGTTCTGGCCAGTTGCCACCCGGCCTTTTTGCCACCTGGCCTTTTGCCACCCTAGGCACGTTGCCACCAGCCTTTTACCACCCGACCCATTGACACCTGGGGCTTCGCGTGGCAATGGGCAGGTTGGCAGAAGGCCGGGTGGCAACAAGCCAGGTGGCAACAGGCCCAGACCCATTGTTATTATTCCTTGCTTTAAGCTTTGTCCACACTTTACTTTATGTGACAAATAAATGTCATAATTATGTCTATCTTTGTGTGCAATCATCATGCCCATATATGGGGACATCACACAAATTTGTCACATAAAATTTGATAATAGTGTGAAGAAAGCTTTATAATCAGCATCTATCAACTTTGTCTTTTATTCCCCAAGGCAAGAGATCAGACATTTATAGGAACAGAGGAGATGATGGAAACCTTGCTGAGCTCAACAACATGTGCAAGAGCAGTGATAGTGAATCATCAATAAGTGATGTAAGTGTAAGAAATTAAAGCCAAACTTTATAATGGTCAGTTTTCAGTACTTTTGGTCATTGGGTGGGGGGTCATCATTCTTTCTTGTATGTGATGATATAGCCCTAACTGTGTGATAGTACATCACTTGCCAAATGCTTGTCTTAAAGTTGTGGTGATATTTTCCCAAATCATTATATACATTGCCACCTCCCATTCTTTTTTGAATCCTTTACATCTCCTGCAATTTAAACATTCTTAAAAAAGAATGTTTTCCCAACAGATTTTTAGGACCATATTTAATTATTTTGAAATGTTTTATTCTTTTTGGCAACAAAATAAAAAAACAATTAGGCCTATATATACTTACTTTCTAAACATATATATCACAAAAATTAACTTAAAATTTCAAGAAAGTGATAAGAAGTGCTGCTCAAATTTTGTACAACTAAATCTTTTTCAGTTCCTCAAGATGTATTTCTGAAATATTTTAGAAAGCTAAATTGATTTATTCAGTGAAAGAATTCAAATTGGTATAGGCCTAACTATAAACTGCACTTATAGCAGTTTTGTTATTACAAGGTTTAAGTAACTTTTGTATAATTTCTTTTTTCTCTATCTAAGTATGAATTAAGTATCAGTCAGTCAGTTGAGTGGGATTCACTTGATATAAGTGCAAATAATACCAGCCTCAACTTAAGTTCACAAGGCAAGTCTTTCCATTTTAATAAGTTTTATATAGTGAGTCAGAATTGTAGGTAGTATTATAGTCTACTGTATAAGAAAGAAGTGACAACAATGAATATGTCATATTTATAAAGTAGAAGTCATTAGTTTTTTTTTTATCATTTTCAAGAGATACAAATGATATTGTTTCCTGTGATCCTCCCTCTCTTAATAAGAAAACAGATAAATATCATAACATTGCAAGTTTAGGCAAAGTATTAATAGTCTACTTACACATGAGCAACCATATACACTTACGAACTAAAAACAAAACTACATCTTTGATCAACAAAAATCAATTGTCTTCTGATGCAGCCGGTGCAAATGCACTATAAACAACAAGCCACCATCTGCTATGCAAATTGCATAACACCACCATGCGAACGCAGATGCAGCGATCCATACAAATACAAAAACATGAGACTATACAGTATACAGTATAGCATATACCAATCTACAATGTTTTATTTTATTAAGGTATAACACACAAACAAAACAACAGCCAAAGGCTGAAAACGTTTGTTTACAATCAACAAATAAAGACAACATAGGAAAACAGGTCAGGTGTAAAAACACATATCGAAATATCAAAATTATATATTCTAGTCCACGACAGTATTAGGAATTTTGTTGTCATATTGAGATCATCATTTTTTCTTTTTCTTCAGAGTACTATTGTAATGTGATATATATGCTGTATTCAAAGTAGACCTGATTCCAGTCCCTAAACTTTGTCTTAGTGAAAAAAAATTAAAATAATTAATTTTGGCACCAATGGCGCTCCATATTACTTCTTTGCACCAATGGCATTCCATACGATATTTTTTCTGATTTTCTAAAGCCAAACCTAATCTGTATCTCAATTGTATTGTGCTATCTGTCTCAATTGCATTTCTCGTTTTAATTCCATTTGCTAAAAATAACTGCATCATAAATTTGTTATACTAACTTTTTCGTGATTATAGATACGAGTATGTCTGATTCATCAAACACAACTATTTCGCTTGACAGTGAGCCACCCGATTTAATGTTTCCTAGTATTCCAAGTATCCAACCACATAATTCATCGGACATTGATGATTCCTTTGAAGATCAAGAACAGATCAAAAAAAGTTTTACAAACACAAGAGGGCAGTATTCATCATTGACCAGCTTGGGATGGATAGAGGATAGTGTGATGTTGACCGGGGAGCAGCGTGCAATAACTATATCGAAAGGTGATCTTTCTAGAACATTTGAAATAGTTGCAGTGGTTGCATATGGAGGAGATATGCGTCAGGAAAATGACTCTGCGAAAGCCATTCAGCACCTTTCTCAAGAACTAAGAAGAACGGACACAAATGTCGACAAGAATCCACAAGATTCTTCCATGCATGGAAAACGAAAACAACCTTTGAACTCTGAGGATTCAGATATGACATTCTATGATGAAAATGATACTGAAATTTGTGTGATGCAACCATCTAAAAAGATAAAGATTAATCCCATAAATGAAAACAACAATAGCGAGGTGCCTGATGGGAAGAAAATTGGATGTTCAGCAGATGAAAGTGACTCTGAAACACCAAGTTTACCTGTTGACAATTCAACCACAAGCTGTGTGATAGAACCAACCAATAAGTGCACAGCTGTCCAATGTGAATCCAATTTTACACAAATAAACAGGCCTAATTCTGATAAGGTAATTATGAGATTTTAATCATCCTAATTTAATATAAAATATCTGAATAATTCAAATGACTTTTATTCAGTTCATTCATTAAAATATAATAGAGATTCATTCTATCATTCCAGCTTATTACATTTTTTAATTGTGGATATAATTGTAAAATAACGTACACAGTAGTTTAATTATATTTTAGATATTGCCAATTATCTGTGACTTTTCTAAGGCATAAATGGATAAAATACTAAAAACAATATGTTAGTCTTATATAACAAATAATACTATATACTTTATGCATTTTATATTGCTTATGTCTTTGGAGTACCGTAAATTATTTTTAAAAAGTGGTTCTCTTAAGCGCCCAACAAACTATGTTTTATGCTTTTGACATAGAGTTGAACTTGCCCAAGTCTAATCCAAAATGGCATTGAAAAATTGTTAGACTTAGATAAAATTCGACTTACAGTTCATTAATTAATGGAAAACATAACAATTTGGCATGTAAAATACGATAGAATTAGAAATTATTCGAGTTAGGCTTACTTACTTACTGTCTTTTGGAAGAAACAGGGTTGGTCCTATTTACAAAAATGGTCCATGTTCATGTTAAACTGAGCCATAGGCCTAGCCAGCGAACCGACCGGCCGTCTTTTGGACGGCCTACAATTATTTAGGACGGCCACTTTTACCGTGACGGCTTGGACGGCTTGGCCTAATCAGCTTGGCCTAGTCTAATTGGGCCTGGTCTACCTTTAGCAAATTCTTTATATTCTTCAAGTCTATCAAATGTTGCATTGAACTAAAGCTAAATAATATTTACGTTTGATAAAAACAATATTTATTGATTGAATGTACGTTGTTTTCGTACCAATATTCGGTGGGGATTCCCAAAGATGGCTGTGGCCCGCCCATCTGCTCAGTGCCACGCCCACTGGCTTCCATTTTGGATGGCTTATTTCGTTTTCTGGCTAAACCCCTGAACTGGGCACACACTGTATATGACC